GAGCGGCAGTTGTGTTCATGTATTTTTCTCTCACTTCCTGCTGCATCTCCTGGACAGGAAGTAAAGGGATATTGCCTCAATATAAAGGCAAAACCTCATTTTATTATGTTGAATAATTTTAAAAAAAGTGTTTAAATAAAAACTAAACACTGCAGCCTAGCACCTAAATTAAATTCAAAGTGCAGCACCCTCTTAGGTTGCTGAGAAATCGAAAATGTAGTTTTTGGCTGGGTGGTAGTCAACCCAGGTTTATTTGTATAGGTTGGTTAGTTTCTCCCTAAGCTCAGGAGATTGGTGGTCTCTCACTGTTACCAGTAAGGGTCCTTACACCACTGACCATAGTATAAGGGTTCCTGATTTGCTGAGTTACGAATATTCATCTTTCTTTTCTAGCCATCCCAGTAGATGGTCCCTGCCACTGGGGCATGAGGGAGAGTATAAATATTTGGGAAAGCCATGTGCTTGCCATCTTGCATCAGGGCTGAAAAATATGGCTGGACTGTTCTTGCTGTTGGATCCTGATTGGGCCCTAGCATGCATTTGAAGCAAACTCTATACACCTGGCCTTGGAAGTTCACCATCTGGGAAAGTTGCCATCTCTGAAGGCCTTGCTGCTGGTTTGTTTTTTTGTCCATCAGGGCTCTGGCTGTGACAGAGCCTGGGAAGCCCATACCTGCAACAACAGAAACACCTGAGACTTCACCCTTGAGGATTCAGTCTGTTACCACTAGAAAGCAACAGAAGCAAAGTTTGGGCAGTTATCCCTTGGCCTAAGTAAAAAAATGGTTTCCTGATCTGGGTGATGCTTGGTGCTGCAACGATATAAGAGCCAATATAGCTTTTTTTTTTTTTTTTTTTTTCCATAAAGTTTATTAGGAAAAGTACAAAACATAGCATACAGTTAGTACAAAAGGGTAGAAGGGGAATGTAGGGTATGCATAAAAGGCAATTAACAAGCTTTATGTGTTATAAATTGCACAATGATCCCTTACCTGGCATTTCCCTTCCAGTCTCAGTGGTAAAGGAGTATCCCATGCCCTACCAAGGTATCCCATGCCCTACCACCCTTTTCGGTTATAAGTTTATTCAGCATTGAACCTTAGCTCTTTTGACTGTACAAGGAAGTATCTTGTGTTAATCACAAGAGTGCAGTTCGTTCTGCACTCCTGTGACCTGTTTTCAGCTGACAGCGGGCTGAAGTCACTCAGCCGCTCCAGGCTGGGGAAAGATCCCGACTTTAAAGTTAGGATCCACCCCAGAGTCTGGAGCGGCACCTGGCTCAGCCTCCCAGTGAGCCACCCACTCCCTTCCCCTCCACTCTAGTAAGTGTGGGGAGGGAGGGCAGAGCAGACAGTGGTGACTGACAGAGCAGCTGTGAGAACTCAACCATCAGCGGTCATATGACCTCTGAGTTCTCACCCTTAGAGCCGGTGGGGGACGAATGCTGCATCCATCTAGGCAAGTATGATTTTGGGAAAAAAACAAAAACAAAAAGCCATACTTCTCTTTTAAAAAGACATCCCCTAAATTCAAAATACTAACCACAGCTTACAAAGCCATCAACAACACTGCCCCTAGCTACATCACCAACCTCATCCACAGATACCGCTCAAATCGCCCACTCCGCTCTTCCCATGATATCCTCCTCTCTAGCTCCCTCATCACCTCCTCCCACGCTCGCCTCCAGGACTTCTCCAGAGCCTCTCCCATCCTCTGGAACGCCCTACCACAGCATGTCCGGTCAGCCCCCCACCCTGTCTGCCTTTAGGCGATCTTTGAAAACTCACTTCTTCAGGGAAGCCTACCCCACCTCCACCTAAGAACTGTACTTGAATCACCTCCGCCAGATCATCCCCCGCAGCTATCACCTTTTGTATCACCTCCCCCTTCCTTTAGATTGTAAGCTCCACTAGCAGGGCCCTCACATTCCTTCTGTAGTGAAATGTATTGTAATTGTAATGTCTCCCTCCATAATGTAAAGCGCTGCGCAAACTGTTGGCGCTATATAAATCCTGTATAATAATAGACTGGTTACTGGGTCAGTGTGCATGGCATCACTAATGTGTGCTGGCAGCCCATGGAGAAGAACCCAGATCATCAACATCAACTGTGTGACTGTACTGCACATTTTATCATCATGTAGAGGCACTCTTGGGGGTCCAACTACAAAATAAACTGACTGGCCTCACAGAATATGCATGATAAATGCATGTATGCTAAAGTGTCAACACTTGCATGTATTTATGACCTCTCAAATTATAGTACTCCCTGCGAAAATGCCTTCCTATGAAAGACCGCACCATCTTTGCTCAGGCATCAAAAGGTCAGCATCTAGTTCTTGGACTGGTGGCACAACCCTGGAAATCCTGGTGCCTGTGCAGTTCTTGGCTGTGATGCTGCAAATGTTACGAAACCAAGAGCAGCTGAAACTCATAGCAGCTGATCAGGCGAGTATGTTAATGTACTAATCTCAATCTGAAAAGTTATGATTCTCGCTCTGTTCTCCTCTACATTTTAGGCAATTCAACTCTATCCATCTTCTGGCTCCCCGCTGAAGGATATGACCTTTGTAATCCGATCAGCCGCTGCGGACAACACACACTCCACCAGTTTTTAAGCCTGCTCTGTCCAAAAAAGGCGACTGTAGCATTCATTTTAAAATGATCACTATTGACAAGAATACTTGTTTTTATCCACTGTCCACATGTCCTACTTCACCTTCACAAAGTGCCGCTATTCTTTGCTGTCACCTAAAGATTTTGTTAAAAAGAAATCTGAAGACCCTGAGGATTTTGGATGGAATTGTAAATCCTGGAAACCTGGAATACAAGTTGATCCAACGCTAATAGGAATTTTACAACCATCTCTAAGTCTATATCCATCACCACCATACTTTGACAATGCTTGACATATCTGACAGGTATTTGTTACAGAGCTGACTCAAGGTATAATTTGTATCTGCCATTAAACAATAAAAAGGCTGTCTGCAGAATTATTCAATATTTAAAAATAGAAATTCCCCCATGTCGACAAACAATGAAAGACTTCAACAAAGAATAAAACGAAAATAAAATTTAAAAAAATAAAAACAAAATACTTTTATACTCATGCTAAATATAACAACATATTCTTATGCATCATATATGTATAAACCTTTGAATCCGGCTAGTGGCCAGTTTTTTTTAAAACCAAAAAGGCCCTAAAACCGGCCCTACATGGATCGACATTCAGTCGGTTCAGCAGAGACTGGCTCAATTTCAATCCATGCATGGGCAGGGAGGCTGTAAAGAAGTCAAAATACTGATCAACTTATGTACAATCATTCTGTTGGATTTTCCCTGCAACATGGGCAGCACAGTGGCTAAATGGTTAGCACTTCCGCCTGGCAGTATTGGGGTCGTTGGTTCAAATCCCAACCATGGCACCACCTGCCTGGAGTTTGCATGTTCTTCCTGTGCTTGCGTGGGTTTCCTCCGGGTACTCCTGTTCCTCCCACACCCCAAAGACACGCTGGTAGGTTATTTGGATCCTGTCTAAATTGGCCCAAGTATGTGTATGTATGAATGTAAGCTAGGGACCTTAGGTTGTACACCCCTTGAAGGTTCGGGACTGATGTGAATGTAATATACAGCAATACCTCGGTTTAAGAACGCCTCGGTTAAAGTAATTTTCGGCTTACAAATGAAAATCCACTGAAAATAATGCCTCGGTCTACAAATTTTGTATGAATTTTTTTCGCAATATGAAGTGTATGTCAGTGCTGATTTTTAAATGCAATTGCTGGCTTTTTTTTTTTTTCTTCACTATAGCTCACAGAATTAGCTGTCACTTTCCCCAAAGTTAACGGAAATGTTGTTTCTTTTAGGAAACATGGTTTGCCCCCCCCCTTTCCTGACCTGCCAGGCTGCATGCTCTGAAAAGGGTCTAGTATGGATTTTGGGGAGGACCCCCATTTTGTTTTAAATTTTGGCGTGGAGAGTTCCCCTCAAAATCCATACCAGACACAAAGGGCTTGGTATGGATGGGAAGGGGGAACCCCACGCAGTTTTTTTAAATTATTTTTCTAATTGCCGGCAATTCTTTTACATTCAGCTGTCAGTGGGGAACCCCGCTGACAGCTGAAATATTAACACATGGTTGTCACTACTAAAATGCCATATGACTTGATAAAAGAACTCATGTGGTATTTATTAGTGTTTACTTTTTTCTGATCTCCGGAACAGATTAATTGGTTTTCAATGCATTCCTATGGGAAACGGAGTTTCGGTTTAAGAATTTCTCGCTATAAGAAAAGTCCTGCAGAACGAATTAAATTCTTAATCCGAGGTATTAGTGTGTGTGTGTGTGTGTATGTGTGTATGTGTGTAAAGCACTGCGTACATTGGCACTATACAAGTACCTGAAATAAACAAACTCTGATCAAATTATTCTGATAACGGAGCAGTCTCCCCACTGTAGTACAATAGTTCATTTATAGGTAAAGTTGATCCAGGGAATATCCAATCGCCTCTCGGGGGATCAGGAAGGAATTTTTTCCCCTGCAGGAGCAAATTGGATCACGCTTTGCTGGGGTTTTTTTTGCCTTCCTCTGGATCAACTGTGGGTATAGGATTATAACTTTTTTTTTTGGTTGAACTGGATGGACTTGACTTTTTTCAGCCAGACTAACTATGTAACTAGCTCAGCGGGGATGTTAAACAAAAAAAAAACTGAATAATCTATGGGCTGCCTCAAAAATGTATGCAAGTGTAAGGTGTTTCGGTTTAATAAATAAAGACCGTAGTGCATAGAAAAACATCTTCCTTCCTGATCTGTAACTTACCTACATAGTTGTAGATCTGCAAATGCCTATATCGGATTTCGAGAAACCAAAATGTAAAATTCTTTTACGGATGCTTTAAGAACAAAACACATGGGAGAAATCCTAGAGCCGATACACTATCAAAGGAAGCCGTACAGTGCTGTCCGTGGTACTGTAGAAGCATAAAGGTTTCTTTTACCTGTGTGTGAGCGGAGATGGCGTTTGAGTGCTGTATGGCTGGGAAAAGTCCTGTTGCACTCACTGCAGATGTAGCTTCTCACTCCTGCATGGACCTCCATGTGCTGCTGGAGTGCGGTCTGAGTCTGAAAACGCTTCCCGCAGAGGAGACAGAACACAGCCATATCAGAGCCTGAAATAAACAAACATGGAGATAGCTTAATAACCTTCCACAAACCCATGGATGCTACCAATGAATATATGCTTTAAAACCAAGATAGAAAAATACTTGTCACCATCACTGAAAAGTCGTGTACAACTCTACTGTATCTAAACTTCATCTAGTGCTTTAATTACAGATTCAGCTGATTAAACAAGATTTGAATTAGTAAAATAGATTGTCAATCAAATTATATTAGTTTTCAAATCCCCTTTCCTGTGTATTGGTAACCCACTGACTTCTACATAATTAAAATGTACCAAAGATCAAAATAGATAAAGAATGTTGAAACACTACAGTCCACTACAAAACATCCTAATAGCAGAAACAGGGCATTGGAGGCAAAGCATATTTGCCTACTAGGCTTGCCTTATCTTCTCCGCTAAAACCCTGCTAAGAATAATTTCACTGAACAAGACATAAATGTCTGTCAAAAATGAAACGTATACCATTAGGCATCTCCAATGAGGTGTATAGAGGTCACTATGTAGCGTTCATTTAAGGACAAGTTCACTTTTTTTTTCCTAAATCAGCCCTATTACCTAGCTGCTTCTTGCATAACTTTAGGTTGACACAAAAAGGACCAAGCTGACCTCATTAGCACACTGCCTTTTTTTTCCTTTAAGCTAAATTCAGCGCTGGTGTATTAATTAAAAAAAGAACATCTAAAATGTACCAAATAAAATAGTTCATAAAGCAATTAAGTGAGGTTTGCTTCTCCTTTGCATTACGTCCTGGGTAGACTTTAGGTCATGACACAAAGGCGATGACACAAGCTGACCTCATTAGCACACGGCCTGCCTCATCTACTCTTCTACCTCCTGCCCACTTCCAGGTGTATGTTTTTTTAAATGGAATGCAATCAGTGGTCAATGTTCTCAATACACAGGCATCAATTTCCTCTACCTCAGAAAAACTTTTATCTTGCATAGATTGTTCACTTGGCAGAGTGTGCAGATGAGCGATCAGATAACAGCCTAACTTATCTGGTTAGCTGTAGTATTGAAACCGGGAGATGTGTGTTCTGGATTCTGTAAAGGTCACCATACACTATACAAATTTGAGTGTACAATCGAATTTAGATATACCATTGTGGTGAGAAGCCATACAGGTCCTGAAGTGGACGGGCTTACTTTAGTCAGAATAGGACCTGCATACGGTAGGAGGATGATAGATGGCAGGAATGCCTTAAGAAAGGTACCAAAGGTTATGGTCTTGAGGTGGATCTGCTGGTCATTGTTGTGTTTCAATCCCTGGGTCCAAACAGAATGGGACTAAGATACATGGACAATCTACCATTGTGTAAAGATGCAGATATTCCCTGGTTCCAGCAATTAAAGGGTCCCCGATCAGGTGTGAGATGCACTGGAAACAGGAGGGTGCTGTCCCACGAAAGGCGATCAGTCCAGTCAGCCAGGGCTCCCTCTGCAGGATCAGCATGTGTGTAGATGGATACGCATGGATTTTGTGTTGAGGCCTCTTAGACATTGACCAGGACAGTCAATAAGGCCTGAGGGAAAAGTTCAGTCTGCTCTGAAACAGGCTAAGGGTCCAAGAAGACCAAATAGGAGATAGAATTCTTCCTTTATATTTGTGAGGGTACACCCTACTGTAAAAGGTACTTCAGTTGACGAACTAAAGTGTTGAATGATTCCTGGGAGCCTATTTGGGGTTAACCTTGCAATACATACACACAAAAATATGTATATCAGAATTCTTTATATGAACACACTGAAAACACAGATCTCAATGGGGAAAAATATCAAGCTTGATTTCTATACTGATATGGACTGGGTAATGTGTTCGGGATTATGACTGTGCTTAGACTCCGGTATGCAGATACCAAATAGATCTGCACTGTAATTTACTGCTTGGAACAGTTTCAGGAAGGCAGGTTAGGCCAATGTTCATGAATGCTGCAATGCCTTGACAGGTCTACGTTTTTAAGCGACCTAAAGAAAGGGCTGGACAAAAAGCCAATGTTAAAACTCCCACCAGAAGCTTTTAAAATAAAAGGGAATGCTGGAAACTTTACATGTAAACAAGTTGTATTTTACAGATGAGCTAAAACTGCAGCACAGTGGCTAAAAGGTTAGCACTTCCGCCTGGCAGTACTAGGGTCGTTGGTTCGAATCCCAGACACAGCACCTCCTGCCTGGAGTTTGCATGTTCTCCCTGTGCTTGTGTGGGTTTCCTCCGGGTACTCCGGTTTCCTCCCACACTCCAAAGACATGCTGGTAGGTGAATTGGATCCTGTCTAAATTGTCCCTAGTATGTGTATGTATGAATGTAAGTTAGGGACCTTAGATTGTACACCCCTTGAGGGTTAGGGACTGATATGAATGTATAATATATATGTAAAGCACTGCGTAAATTGACGGCGCTATACAAGTACCTGAAATAAATAACATAAATGTAGGGATGCCCCATCGTTTGATTGAAATGAAAATTACCAACCTACAGAGGACTGAATTCAAAGACACCCCAAAAATCAAAGTGAAAAAATTATGCAGCAGGCTAGTCCATTTTGCTGAAATTTCATTGTAGCAATTCAGAATGGTACTCTGTAGTTTGTATGGCCCCCCACGTGCTTGTATGCATGCCTGACAACATTGAGGCATGCTCCTGGACCAGGGCATCACTGAGCTCCTGGAGAGTCTGAGGTGCAACCTGGTGGCGTCGGATAGACTGAAACATTAGATCCCAGAGGTGTTCTATTGGATTTAGGTCAGGAGAGCGTGGAGGCCATTCAATGGCATCAATTCCTTCATCCTCCAGGAACTGCCTGCATACTCTTGCCACATGAGGCCGGGCATTGTTGTACACCAGGATGAACCCAGTACCCACTGCACAAGCGTAGGGTCTGACAATGGGTCCAAGGATTTCATCCCGATATCCAATGGCAGTCAGGGTGCCATTGTCTAAACTTTAGAGGTCTGTGCGTCCCTCCATGGATATGCCTCCCCAGACCATCACTGACCCACCACCAAAATGGTCATGCTGAATGATGTTACTGGCAGCATAACGTTCTCCACAGCTTCCCCAGACCCTTTCACGTCTCTCACATGGGCTCAGGGTGAACCTGCTCTCATCTGTGAAAAGCACAGGGAGCCAGTGATGGACCTGCCAATTATGGTTTGCACACTATATATCCCACAGTCCCTAGTTCATAGATGAGAGAGGGTGGCTACGTTCCTACATATAGTAGAACCATGGAGAATGAATATAGCCACCCTTTAACAAAGAGAGAGAGAGAAAAAAAAAAAAAAAAAGATTTGGTGGAAGCTGAAAATAATAGACGGTCCTTTTTTGAGTTAATATATATATACAGTATCCACTCCGATGGAAACAAACATGCCCATCCATGAAAATTATTTGGTTTGCGAAGGTCAACAAGATTATGGCCATGGAAGACCTTACAGCTACCTTACACAACACCGAAGAAACCTTTCAGTCTACTTGAATGCCCTGGCAGTACTTCATCTACACAGATGCCTATCTGAATGCGCAGTCTCAATCTGTGTAGCTAGCACGATCCCCGTCTCAACCTTCCAGGGAGGGACCCTCAGATTCCTCTCTCAATCCCTTCTCAACTGTTTCCCAGACTATCCTTTCTTTTCCTCCTCCACCTTCCTCTGACTTTAGACCTTACAAGTTTATCTATGGATATATGCACCATATCATAGTCCCAGTACAATAGCCCAACACAATGGTATTTTGTTGACCAGGAATCAAGGGATCCTAGGAGCAGTTTTGAAATCATAGTTCTACAAGTGCATGCATTTTTTCTCTGCCTACGTTTTACCTGTGTTCTGGAAAAAGCCATTTCATTATTAACCCTTCCACATACAATGATGTCAAGACATGACTCTCTCATAGTAGTCTTGTCACCATGCTTCAGGTTCTGTAATGTAACTTACTAGTAGAAATAAAGTGAAATCACAAAGTATAAAAAAAAATTATATACACACACACACACACACACACACACACACACACACACACACACACACACATATATATATATATACATACACACACATATATACATACATACATACATACATACACACACACACACACACACACACACACACACACACACACACACACACACACACACATATATACATACACACACACACACACATACATATATACATAGAGTACGAGTAGATTTTTTTTTTTTTTTTTTTTTTTAAACAAGAGTTGTGTCAATTTAACAATAATAGAAATACAACAAAAGAACTGCAAATTTATAAATGAAAAAAAAACATTAAAAAAACCCCCAAACAACTATACTTTAACTGATCAATAGTTTTGTGCATCAGCCACATTTTACTCAAAGTTATTTGTGTCTTCAGAAAACTGCAGTACCAATACGTCTTTATTCCATTTGTGTCTATATTTTAGTTAGCGCCACACGCGAATACAAAAACGCATTATGAAAACATTGATTTTTAAGCAGTGGCATTTGAAATTCAGATAAAAAGAAAGCCTCATTAAATGAAAATAAAAGCAGAACAATGAAAAAATGAGATAGTATAAGGAATTAAATTCTGGGCCTAGCTAAGCTGAAAAGTATTTATTATCAAAAGCACAATACACAGGACATTAAAATGAATTAAATAGCCAACCGAGGGCAACATAAACACTGCTTAGCAGCTTAACAAAGACTATTAGTAGTTTAAGAAATTTCCATAAAAGAAAATCCAATTGCTTGAAATTCATAAGGGATGGGAATGGGATAAAATTGGAGATGTACAATGGCACCAGTATGCATAAAAGTCATTATAAAATGCAATACAATTTGGTAAAATGATGGATCAGTGGGCAGTATAAGAGGCAGGACAGTGGATAAGGGGGTACCACCAGTCCTCCTGTACAGGGCCTAGGCCATCT